GGTGCAGGTATAGCCGATTCAAAAATGTAAGAAATATTGTATAATATTTTGAAACGGAAAGATGGTAGTTGGTAGACTGAACAGAATTTTTGTTTTTTGTTTTGTTTTAATTCAACTTCCTCAGTTTCTTCACATTTGGAAACTATCTACAGTATATGGAAAATTGAAGCCCCCAGAGCCACTCGAAGTATTACAGTTTGCAGTATTCATGCTTTCTACGAAGATGGTCCATTTGATTTCAATTTGAAACCTTGCATTGATATCACTTTTATTTTAGAGCTATTTCATATTCTTCTTCTTCTTTTTAAACAATGGTGCAGACACAGCTGATTCAACAATTGAAAAATTATTGGATAGTATTCTGAAATGGAAGGATTGTTGGGCCAGATTCAACAAAAGTAAATGAGAAGGAATAAAAAATGGAATCAGCCGTTATGCAGCCTCGTCCTCTTTATAGGAGACTCTTCAAAAGTATTTTATTTGCACAAAAACACAAACAGGATAAACACAAATTCAGCGGGGGGTGAGGATCAATAAGAAATCAGAACACACACCAACAATCTCAAAAAACAGAAAATTGTTCAACACAAATCACAACTGCCATCCAACAACTAAACAGAGATCCTTCTTCCTTGAAAGATGGCTTTCAAATGCCATCTTGATTAGCATCCAAGTTGGAACTTGGATGCTGAATCTCTCCCTCCTCCTCACCCTCCAATTTGGCTCAAAAGAATCTGAATTGGCCGCTGATGTCACATGCTCAAAACACACGCCGCAATGTCTGCCTGCCTTGGGAGAGCAGCGACATCTAGTGGCCCAATAGGGATAGTAGTTGGTAGACTGAAGAGAAAAATACTTTTCGCTTGTATTAATGCGACGCTCTCCACATTCGGAAACTATAAAATTGAAACCTCGAGAGCCACTCACAGTAATACAGTAATTCATGCTCTCTACAAACTTGGTCCATTTGATTTCAATTTGAAACCTTGCATTAATTGGTACCACCTATTAGCACTATTCGGTCTTCTTCTTTATATTTTCCAGACAGGCGGAAATGTTCTTTCTTAGTGTTCATGCAATGTTCTTTCCAAAATATATCCCAAAACCCGAGGTTGTCCCTCAACGTGAAACCCCTTAAAAATTATATTATGCACTTCATGTATTTAATTTCAATTCAAAGATTCTGACAACGGAACTGACAGAATCCACAATGCTTAATTAAGAAATTCAGCGAAAAAATTAGATGTTTCCTCACATGGCCGTCGTGGCAAAAGGAATGACTATTAATGTAAGCGTTTACTGCGTCGATTTAGTAAACTTTGATCGGAAACTTTTAAAAATGTTTAAAATTAAATCCTTAGCTCAACCAAATTCATGATAATCTCGGTTGGAAATCTTTATTTTTTAATGATCCGCCATTATTCAGACCAGTAACCAAAACCGTGAAGGCCCATTATAATGAATATCCAATTTATTTGCTGGTACAAAAAACTGATACTCGGAAGTGACTCGTTTCGGTCTCATGTCCGGCATGTATAAAATAATAGGAATGCATAGGTCATTCATTGCTATCGATAGATTAATTATAAAAGGCATTTATTTCTCGGCTGACGGGAGACACGTGCATCGGCAGTAATCGCCATCGTTCAATCATTAAACACCTGATGCCTCATCAATGCTGTTTCCCACGCTTTTCACGACCAAATCGGTTTTTTTTCACCAAATATGAGTTCAAAGATTCTGTGGATTTTTTTAGTTGTGGTTAAAAATTACCGTACAGATACGAGGACGATGATAATAAAAGAACCCCTTCGCTTCAATGCTGACCTTTCAAATATACTGAATATGCGGACTTAGTTTTTCGAAAATCGCTCACTCTTGCTTTGTGATTTAAAGCAATTATGTTTTCGTTTTCGAATGTTTAATTGGAGAATTTCTCGACATCAGCAAATCTCAAAGCAAAATGCATTTCCACGGAAGGTGCTTGCATGGTCACAAAACTTGATAGTTGCAATTCGACAAACTCTTTCTTTCTTCATCATCATGTCGAGAAGTTGCTGGGCATTTTCAGAGAATTCTCACGTGGATTTTGAATATATGTTTGAAACTTCAAAGTTTTGAACGGCTTTCTATTTCCGAATTGTTTTGGACCGCGCATATTTAAAATTTCCTTTAAACTCTGTCTTCATACCTTGATTAAAAAGCCTGGACCTTGTTCTCCGTTTTTTTATTCAAACGCGGTGATCAACTTATTAATATGCGGTATTCAACTGAAATTTGATTGTCAGCGTTTTAAAATGTTTTTTTCTAATTTTTATAATCACGCACGAAGTTCAAATCACAGAGAATAGACAAAATATCTCAGTTCTGACAGTTCGTGTAATTTCGCCTCCGAACAGATCGGAGATAGAAGGCAAACGCTGTTGGGGTGCATTGTTGTGGGTTTTCAACAGAATCGACGGCAAGAGCTGCGTAATTTGAGTTATACAGTTACAAGCGATTCATCATTCGACTTTTGTGAGATTCGGCACAGAGCAGATTTTAATCAGATGAGAGAGCGAATGAAGTCTCTTTTCGATGGGATCACTTGAGAAAATAACCGAGTTCCACGTCACACAAATTCCGACTCATCGATTGTTTTTTGCTCCGGATGACCCTGAACATCTGCTGAAAATTCGTCAAATGCATTTCACGGTTTTGTGCCAAAGAAGGGGGTTACTTCTGATTTCTGAAGCAGGGGATTTCGTCTAAAAGGCGTTTATCGATGCTTGTTGTACACGTGATTATTTTCCGAACAGAAATGATTCTCAATACGAACGTTGAGTCATTGCTGATTTTATAAATGATGCCTTGGTTTTAAGAAAGTTCAGAAAAGTTATTATTCGCAAGGCAAAAACATAAATATTCAGAAAGCATGTTTTGAAAAACACAAGACAAAGCCCGTCAATCTTGACACGGCATAAAAATTCCATGCATATTTTCCACACGTTTCTCTTCAACATCTGCTTATAAATTGCTCATGTAGAAGCCTTTCCCCCCAGATAAACTCATTAGTAATACGGGAATTAACGTTGCCTTTAAATGCAAAAATCGATCAGCACCTGCTTCGTTTTCCAAAACGAAGATAATGTTGCTGGACGCAAAATACTGTAACTCGTATTCCAGCGAGAAACGAAAACAAGATGCGATCGACTTCATCGTCGCATTATGTAAATTCCTCAAAGGAACGTAAAATTGCTTCTTGAATCTTGTAAAAAAAAACCAAGGAAAGGAATTCCCGTGATGTTGTTGTGCCCCATTTGCGGAGCAGATAATACTGCGTGGAAGTTTTTGATGACGCTGTTGGACCAGAACTCATCAAGAATTTGCACGAACTCATTTGCAACTTCGTCAGCAAACCCCGTATAACGGTCGTGACTTTCAGTAACTCCGAATGTAACCGCCCTTTGCTTATTGTCACGGGGTCAATTCAAAACGCACATTCTGAAGTTGTGGCAATTTGAGAGAAACTGCTTTTGAACAAAGTTTCCCTCATACCATTTTGCTGTTACCACTGAGTTCCCACATGCACATTGTTGTTTTCCATTTGACAAGAGATCATCACGTGGCTAACACTTCAATAAATTCCTCCGAAATTTTGAAAATTCTTTGAAATTTTGATGAAGTGTCTCACTGATTCTGGATTTTCCAAGTAGACTTACGCAGGTGCGTACGAGGGTTGGCTCATAAGTTTTGAGACTTTTTGAGTACCGGATATCTAACGGAGTTTGAACAATTCCAAATTATCTTTTTTTAAACTCCCGTAGCCCCATCATTTGGCAACACTTCCGTGTGTTCAACTTACTCTCCGCCGATTTCAATGCATTTTTTATGTGATAAATCCAACGATCGAAACAGTGAAAAAACTTGATTTTTGGCACTGTTCAGCGTGGGATTTATTGCATGAAAAAAAGCATTGAAATCGGCGGAGAGTATGTTGATCACTACTACTGAATTTTGGCCAAATTATGCGTCTATAGGCGAGTGGGGGAAGATTTTGGAATTGCTGAAATTCCGTTGGATCTAATTCAAAAAGTCTCAAAACTTATGAACCAACCTTTGTATGCCTGGCTTCAAATAACGTCCCAATAATCGGGCATTCGCGATTTTTGCTGTGCCTGAGGGAAAAATTTCAGGATTGTTTGATAAAATCCTTACACTGCAACTTTTTTTTCCTGAGAATAATAATTTAATACAGGTAACACCTAAATAAAGAGCAGTGTTTAAATTTACGTGAAATTGAGAAAGGTCGCGTAGAGTTATATTTCCTTCTCTATTACGTAGAAAAAATATCTAGAACATTTTTTAAAATGTGAAAATGGTGGAATATAGATCGATTTGCAAATCTGAGATCTGACAGTTTAAAGGTCATTTAAAGCTACGCGTGAATAAGAGAAAATGTGATTTAATCCACACTTTCAACCCTGTATATATTTTCTTGAGAAACTGAATGCGATATTTTTTCCCCTTAGTTCATCATTTTAAATGAGCATGCTGGTCGTACTACGATACCAGGAATATTTAAAAAAGATAAAATTGGATACGTTAAAATGATCGAGGAGCTTCCATGAATTTAGCTTTTTGAACGTGACATGACGAGAGCGTTCCGGAGATTTACTGCAATTAACTTGAAAAACTGGAATTTGTTCCGTCCCGTCTTAAAAACTGTTTCAATAATTAGAATACTTTCATATTTTCCCCCTGAAAATCTCCCTCAGAAGTTCTTTGTACTAGACAAGGTTGAGCATATATTTTAGTTTGAAATTTAACACTGCGATTATCGGATGAACAAATCATCTCAGCCACTGTTTTGTTCACTGATATTTGTTCAGAATTGATGATTGATTTCATCAATTTGAAGCAAAAAACGTAACTTTTGAAACTTGACAATATACTATGTCGGATGGGAGGAAAGGGTAGGGGATATTAATTATCTTTCTAGTCTTGAGATAAATAACGAGTGCGAGGAACCACAATCCATTTCTTTCTCCAACATCGAGTCACATCAACGACGACTTCTTCAGCATCGAATCAGAGATCTACGTAGCATCGCGACAAAAGTTATACAGCACATATTTTAGAAAATATTTGCTTCTTGAGAGGAAAATAGCAGGAAAAATACATGCCCAACAGCGAACGAGAAGAGGATCACTTCTCGACTACGCAACGCAAACACACCGAAGACATCCACAAAAATGAGCCACTGACTGAATATTCCAAGGCGAAGATTTAGCTTTCGTCATCCATTTTCAACAAATAAACAAAAAAACATAAAAACCAAATTGTACCATTTTGTAGCAACAGCAGAGAACGTACGCCCCAGCAATTCACGCAAAAAATCAAATGTTGGCATTTATGCCTCACACAATCACCCAGCTTATTGGCACTCAGAGTTTTTCATCTGAGAACATCCAACGCGACAAAACGTAGTAAAAAATCTTTTTCTTTGCCCCTCAAAAAAATTATTCAGTTTAAAACTAAACATTACTTTTATTATTGTTTTAAATTCCGACTCACGTGAGAACAGTACGTCTAAATAATTGCGCAAGACGTAGGATTGCTGCGCAATTTCTAAAATTATATAATAAAACAACCTGCACCCAATGACAATTAGAATTGTTAGAATCATCAATTCTAAAAGCTGTGACGTGATATTGCTATTTTTATCGTCAGTCCATAGTTAAAAACCTAAATGATGAGTTGACCAATCCCTATTTCATGATTTGTCCTCCATAATGAATTTCAAAACCGCCAATTTCTTCCTCAATGAATTTACACTTACGTTGTATGTGTCCTGATGATAATGCCGACGAAGTTGATAATGCCTCAATTAATTTCGGATACATCGTTTCCAACCAATTAACATGAACATATCCAAGCAAAATTCCTCCACAGGCGACAGAAAAAAAATATCTGTTGGAAGAAATATCTCTCCGATGAGTCAAATGCTTCAGAAGAGAAAAAAAAATTAGAACACAAAATTCAATCATCGAAACGTCGAAATCATTTATGGATTATCGTAAACAAATGAAGCACGATGACTTAAATTATGTGATTTCATCAAACATGAGCCTCATCTTTGTTCAGCAAACACAGAGTTGCTCGGTTCTGCTCGATGATCGTCCCCGATGTTTTCTTTCGTCGTGCTGCTACTGATCATGCAAATGCCATTCGGATTTTCGGTTGAACTAGAAACTTGAACTACATCTTCCGCAGTCCTGAGGAGAAAATTAAACTATTCAGAAACATCCGGGAAATCCTATAACCAACGAGCGAATTCAAAATCCTCAGCTAGCTTTCATGAAACTTGTAACGCAAATTATGCGAGGCGAGAGAAGAAAACGACGCACCGGAAATTTTTTTTCCAAAATAATGCCCATAAAAAAAAACCCATGTGCCAACGAAATAAAAGGTTTTGTGCAAGGTAATTTTTTGTGTGAACATTGAACGTGAACATATTCAGAAACTGTCAGGTAATGCATCCGCCAAATAGGGTTCGCATTTAAATATAATCCCCGGCGAATGCGAATTAAACATTGAAGTTTCTGTTTTTTTCGAAATTTCTTCGCTTTTATTTTTTTTTCGTTCTGCCGGGACAGTTTTTTTTTTTTTTGCACAATGATCTTGCCTGCTTTCCTGGGCGTGGCACACATTAGGGCTGTCCCAGTTCCGCGTAGATGCGATATTTTCAAGGCCGGTAAAAATGTGATAAGAATGGGAAGCCTAGAACATCATAGGAAAAACTATAAAACAAATTTTCACATTCTTACAGGCCTCGTAAACATTCTTTCCCGCACGGATTTGGGAAAACCCTCGTACAAATACAGGTATTTATGCAACATGGGTAAATTTTGGAGATTCGCTATTTTCGCGTAGTAAATTTTTTTCCCAGGAATTTCAATGACATTTTGAAGATTTTTATGAAAATCGATGGGAAAGGAGTGTGTGCGTCATATAGGCGGGTATAAAATTTTCCAACAGTTTTCGAAGTTGAGGTGCATGATAAACTTGATCCTAGTGAGAAATGTTGGACCCATTTTACCACAAAGACTTATTAATTAAATTAATTGAAATTGGTTAAATCCAGGTTAAAGTCATGGTTAAAATCAAATGTGGGTGTTCCTCTTTTTTAGATACAGGTTATTGCAGTTTTAAAGTTAGTGAAAATGGGATGCCTGTCTTACTCGTGGATTTTATGTACATTTTTCAATCAAAATTAAAGACTGGAAAACGCTGGTACGTTTCTTACTCTCTCTTCTTACTCAGGCGGCCGCTTTTTCTTTGAATTGATCGACAATTGCTGTGCGCTGTTGATTGAATGATCGGATAATCCGCGATTTAAATAAAGTAGAGCTGAGACGGAAGAGAAAGAGTGAAATAGACAGAGACGAAGCGGCACCTGTGGTGGAGAATAACTACCGGTAAGGTGCACACTTTACTGGCCAGCCGTGATGCGAACGGAACTCGTCACCGTTACCGGCGTCGGCGCATCTGGCACCACCGGAACCACCAGACTGACAGCAAGGGTCGCAGGGCCAGGGATGATCATCGTGGTTCCCTCTTCCAAGAATCCCATTCGTGGATGGTGAGGATGATGACTGTTGGAAAGAGGGTGAGGATTCGATTGCTGATGGTTGCTGCGGGTCCGTGGATGAGTTGTGGGGTTGCAGCGTGCGACACCTAGTTTCATGAGGCTGGGACCTGCTGAGGATCATTCCGACACTCGACGCTCGAGACATCGTTGGTGGGGTCCAAATGCTGCCCACACGCGGCGGGTACGGGTCCAGTTTTCGACTGTGCTGATCCGTAGTCATCGGTTGTTGAGGGTTACATTCCACAGTCACCTTCGGAGAATAAATTCGGTTTTCAAGGATTACTCACACGAAGATTACTTGTTTGGTTCATTTTTTTTAATCGACTGTGAAAGTTTGCAGTAATTTGAATGAATCCAAGCATTTTCGTATCATAATTATAATTCGAATACAATACAGTGATTGCGTCGAAGATTGATGCTTTTTCTGTGAAACGTGCGGAACTCTCGAAGACTTCTCAACATTATTACTTCATCCAAACTGTTCTCCTTGAATACTTTTGTTTCAATTCAACTAATGCTGATCCTTATCCGAAATGTTGCTTAATTGAGGTACGGTGAGACACAATCTACGCGAGTGCTTGAGATTCTAGATAAAGTTTAAGGCATTTCGAACAATATTTTTCCTGCGCAAATGCTTTGGTTTACATAGAAGTGTCCATTAATTTTCCAAATTCTTCATCAACCCATAAACCGGAATTAACCCAGATATTTTATTCGCTCCTTGATATAGGCTGCGTCAATTTAATTTACAGTTGAACCTCTTCAATTCAAATCCCAACGGACCGGAAAAATGTGATTCGGGGAGGTTTTGAGTTAGGGAAACTAACATATTTGTCTCAAAAAAGACAAATTAGGATGTCGAAATGAATTATCGTTTTTGTCCTGATACATAAAAAGTTGACAGGATGCTGAACTTGAAGGCAAGGGATTATTTGCCCAAATTGCCTTTCACTTCCTTTCAAAAAGCATAAAGTTTTATCTTTATTGTTCTTATTTTTCTCGGGTCACAAAAATAATAGCTCAAGTGCCTCCAGAAAATGTCAGTTATAGAAGCTTAAGGGGGAAAGCTTTCAAGTCAGGCAATAATTCAAACCTCCCTCAGTGAATTCCCCTATATTGATTTTTTCAAGTCATTGTTCGGATCATTCCTTTAGAAACAATGTACTTTTTCGTAAATAAAAAAAAAATTAGGTTGCAGTTATCGAGTTCAACTGCAATTTCAAAGTCATTAATGCTCTGAGATATTTGAAATTTTTGCTTGATATCCCAATAAGGCCAATATGGCGTTATAATCTTAGCCATATTTCGATTATGGCCATAAAAATTATTGAGATTACTTAATTCGTGTTGCCTATAACAACTTGATGAAGCTGAAATGGAAATTAGTTTCTCAATCATCATGGTGAAAAAATAAAAATAAAGAAAAGGTCCATATATAGAAACCTGCGAGCTATGATGGTGAGGATGATGATGCCCGTTTTGAATCCCATTCGTTAATCTGTGTTGCTCATTATTGACAAAATCATCCGCATTATATCCATGACAAAGCCCATTGTTGGTGTAAGGGGTCGCAACAGGCCGGGTCGCAGGTGATGAATGACCCGGATCTATTTCCGGTATGTGATTCTGATGGTGCTCCTCAAGTCCAAGAATGGCAGAGTTTCGTTGACTGATGGGAATCGACAGTGGAATGCCAGCAGGATAAGCAGGATTTAGAATATTGTCAATTTCGTGAGGAACAACGTGTTGCTGGTGACTCTGAAAACGAAGAAGATTAAAAAATGACAGGGTCGGAAGGAAATGCGAAAATTGTTCGAAAGCTCGCAAGAAAAGCAATTCATCCATAACTTGAGAAAAAGAGGACTTCAGATAGGCCGTGATTTATAATATTTACTCGAATGTGAAATTTCATGTACTGTATAATTTAAGAACGCATCTTATTGATGAATCACAATCTTAAATAGAAAACATTTTGTTAAATTGGTTTCCTGCTAGATCTGAGATGCCTCTAGTGTCATTTGCTTTTTTTTAATACTGTTACCTAGAAATGACTGCATGAAACTTTCTCGAGAATCTCTATTGTCTTTATAATATTTCTTTCTTTACAAATACAGCAATGTTTCAGAAACTCCATTTCTTTAAAGACAATTTTTTCCTGAGTAAAATCATTTCCTGTTCTCATTATGCCCTATAAAGATGCAATTTTCAAAGTGTTTCCCACAATTAGGATAGCATTTTGAAACTCTAGCTTTTCCCAAATCTCTAGCATTCTTGTAAATAAGATAAATACATATGAGCATATTAATCTCCTCAAAAGCAGGACATTTCCTCAAGGATAGAACAGTTTTGTGATGTTCATGTTTAACCTGCATAATTTTTTTTCTGTGATCCCCAAAGTTTGTTATGACAAGATTGTATTGCATTTCTGTGAATATTGTTGCGTACCTTCCAAAAATATTCCTAGAGTTGCTCTCAGGAAGACGTGCTTTGTTTTCGGAAGTCTTTCCTGCATTCTACAATATCACGTTATTTGATTTGTGCTTGTACTATTGTGCGAAATTCTTAATCATATTTTTTTTACAACTATTGTCTTTTTTAATTAGTACAGCTAAAGATAACAATACCAGCAACACTGAATTCATTCCGCTGGGCAAAAAATGTATCCTCGAATAAAGAATGTTGCAGGAATGAACCTAAAGCATCCGTTCGTTTTATTCAATCAAATGAATTCAATCTAGCGCTCAAGACTATTAAAATCGTTTGTCTTGTGGCAAGATTCGTTCGAACAGAGGGTTTCGCCACTTTCTTCAGGATAACTCACCAGTGATGCTGAAGAAGCCCCGTTCCCGAGCATTTCGGGGGACAACGAAGAGTTTCCGTTGCAACGGGGTGTACTAGGTGAGCTGATGTTGGCGTATGTTGGCGCAGCCGCGTATGGCGGAATAGACGGGTAAATTGGGGAATTCGGCGTGAATGTGCCTGGGACGAAGGGTGAGTATGTTTGCGAGCCGAACTTGAGCATTCCTTGGGCGACCTGATTCGGTGGCATCCAGGATCCGTTCGTCTCCATCCGAGCGGCGTATTGGCGCAGCAGAGGCGAGTTGCGATAGAGCTCGACCTGCCTCCGCATCTCGACCCGCCCTTCCGCGTCGCTGGAATGAGATCACAAATATTTAATCATAGGTGTCGCTGTTATCAAATGAGTGGATCCTTAATTTACACCCACGGCACTTAAAACATCTTTCGCAAGATTTTGGAGAACATTTTGAACAACAAAACCTAAAAATTCAAAAGACAAAACGCGGAATTTTGTTTGAAAATTAAGTTGCAAATTTCGATTTACTCATTTTGCATGGTATATGGTACTACAGTATAAAGTTTATCTCTTTTCTGTGTTGTTTCTTCAAATATTATACTCTATAGAGACACGTTTGGAACCATGAACTGGAATATACAATTTCAGATAAATGCAGTATGTCAAAAATTATGATTGCTGGAGATAAAAAATTCTATGGAAAATGTATGATCACCAAAAAATATACATGAATAAATCATTATTCCATTTTTTCGAATATTCAAAAAATACTGTATATCTTGTTCCGTAAAAAATGTTTCAGACCGCATTTGTCAAACCAGTATCGCCAAGCTCAAAAATACTTCTTGATAGTTAATCTGGGTTTCAAATAATAAATTATCTTTCCGCGTCTGATTAAAATGAAATGTATTGGTATATGTGCGTTAAAAAATTTTACTGCTCCATATTACAACCGCGATCATTTAAAAAATACGAGTGAACGAGGCATATATGTTTGTAAACGTAGAACAACAAAAAACGCTTCGCCAGAAGCTTGTTTCAAATAGGAAGAAAACGTGACCAGGGTCAGATTGCAATTTAAGCACTCATTGAGTTTCAATGGAATTCCAATTTTCAATTTAATGAAGAGCGATGTGGTACATCAACGTAATAAGCATATTGTGATGCATCCTTGAGAAGAACCAAAATTAAAAACAGCTGTGGGCGAACTTTCAGCAGTAAGCCCACAGTATTGCAGAGCTCGATTCCGAGCGTAACTCATTCGTCGCACGAAACTGCTAATTCAATTATTTCATTGCTTTTTATACGTTGTTCTTGAAAAGATACGCCAGTATCTCGAGTTTCTATTTATGCGACAAAGATGCAATCGCGGGTCTGAAACTTGTTTGCAAGGTACGTGCACGCGTTACACCCGGTTCATTCCTCGGGGATTTATGATAGTGCTCTGCTGCTGCTTTTCATATTGCCGCTCATCTCGCTCCTTTTTTTCGGTCACAGTACTTGTGTACTACAGTATATAATACAGTACCTGATCATGGCGTTGATGCAAATGAACGACTCCACGGCGTCGTTGCTGCGGTTGAACTCCAGGAAGCCCTTGGTTTTCAAGTACACGAATTCGTCCGTCTTCGTCCGGAGTCTGTAGGTCACCTGGGCAGATCCATCCCGACTGCTGAACAACACTGGTACATTGAAGTGCAGAAAAATAAATGAATGACAAATTTAGTTTTCGATCACAAGCTTAATCCCTTTTCCCCAACTGGTTTTGATTTGAATTCCGTAAGACAGAGAGTCAAACGGGCGAGAGACAAAAATTAAACATTTTTGACATGTGACATCTCAGCACCGAATATAAGTTTTCCCTTTCAAAGGCAAAGCGCGGAAATTTAGTTTGAGTGATGACCGTTTCCGTTGTTTTCTTGGCTTAAAGTATGATTGGCTTTGGCACGTGAAAATTGAGTTCACGTAATATCACCTGTTTTTTTGTTTTTTTTTTGCGAATACTGTACACAAAACGTTTTCCAAGTGTGTGCGCTTTTCACTGACACAAATAATCAGTCAAAGATAAATTTTCCACTGTTCGGAATAAATTTTAGTTGGTTATTGTCTTGAGATTTCCAAACTGTTTACAAGACTAGCTTTCTTGTTAGATTGGTAATTAAAAACGAAAGAGCGGGGGAATCCAGAAACTGTTGTGTCCCAAATCAGCGGAGGAACTACTTTATTCTGAACACAGTATAAATTTCATCAATTTTCCAAGTCTCAAAAAATAAAGATACTGTATATTCATGTCTTGATGAAAAATATTGCGAGATTGAAAGAAAGCCCTTGGTTTTCAAGTACACGAATTCGTCCGTCTTCGTCCGGAGTCTGTAGGTCACCTGGGCAGATCCATCCCGACTGCTGAACAACACTGGTACATTGAAGTGCAGAAAAATAAATGAATGACGAATTTAGTTTTCGATTGCAGGCGTATTCCCTTTTCCCCAACTGGTTTTGATTTGAATTCCGTAAGACAGAGAGTCAAACGGGCGAGAGCCATAAAATAAACTTTTTTGACATAAATGTGATATCTCAGCACCGAAAATCAGGTTTCCCTTTCAAAGGGAGGGGGCGGAAATCTAGTTTGAGTGATGACCGATTCCGTTGTTTTCGTGGCTTAAAAAATGATTGGCTTTGGCACGTGAAGATTAAGTTCACGTAATATCACTATTAGTTTTTTGTTTGCTTGCGAATACTGTATACAAAACGTTTTCCAAGTGTGAGCGCTTTTCACTGACACAAATAATCAGTCAAAGATAAATTTTCCACTGTTCGGAATAAATTTTAGTTGGTTATTGTCTTGAGATTTCCAAACTGTTTACAAGACTAGCTTTCTTGTTAGATTGGCAATTAAAAACGAAAGACTGGGGGAATCCAGAAACTGTCCACAGGGTTTAGTCGCCTCCTTGATGAAATAAGACTTGTGTCATATTTAAAGTAGTTAAAAGGTTCAGAGTTTTTTATTTCTATGACATATAAGTACAGAACTACTTTTTATAACGCTCTAACTTTCTTTATAAGCTTACTTTCTCGATGCAGCAGAGCAGCCATGGTTTTGTCCTCGCTTAGCACATAGGAAAACCCACTTTTTCCAAGTACCTCTTCCACTGTGTACCCAGCTACGAGGGAAATCCTGGAAATTGCATTCAAATAAATGAATGAACCATAAAATGCATTCGTATAAAAAATGCGAGCTTAAAGGCTGGCTTTTTAATAGCTTCGTGCTGGAAAAGTAACGATTTCCTTCTTGGATTCTCGTTTTCTTCAGATTTTATCTTACGAATCAACTTTCTTGCGAGCGAAGAAACGCAAATTTAAAGCGATTCGTTATACTTAAGAAGTTCATATATTTTAGACAACATTGTAAATAATTCCTTGATTTTCATAGGAACTTTTTTCAAGCTTTATGACGCAGAAGAACATTTATGCCTTAGTTATACTTGAAGGAACTTTTCAAAAGAGATGATTACCTAAATCTATATGTGTATATAGGAGACGCACATGTCTTGAAATGTTTCAGTTAATTTTCTTGCCAAGCAGGGGTGAAGGTTTTGTTGCTGCAGTTGAAGACAATTGATGACAGAAGCATATTATTCTGTCCTTCAAACTGAATTTCAGAGAAGGAAACTACGTTAAGTTCAAAAATGTTCTGTGAAGGCAAATGCGGATTAAGGAATGATCACGGAAACCCTGGAAAAATACAATAGAAAATATACCCTTTTTATTTACATCAGTATGCCTTAAAATGTCCAATTTTGATGAGCTGTCATTCTATTTTTTATCAAACAAAAGTCAATTTTTTTTGTAGCGTCGACATACACGAACATCAAGGTGCAGACGGTAATAAAATATACGAAATAATAACAGAAGTTTAGCTAATACGGCATAAGAGTCCTGTTCCCTCAAGTCAGCTTGATTTGAATTACACTTTTTTTTTTTAATTTACACGAACACAGGCGTTGAAACAAAAAGCCTGACCTCTGATCGGAGTTGACAATGCGGCCGTCTAACATGTGTCTGGTGTAATACTCGTCTTGCATGGTCTGGTATAACGTGAGTCCAAGAATGGTCGCAGATTTGACTGGTGATGCAATCCCGAGGAACAACCAGTCATCCAACTGGTTTTGCGACACTTTCCTGTCACCTAAGTACGAGGAAATTGAGCAAAAATTCTGGACCTTCCTTCGCGGCGAGCAAAAGTGCAATACCCAACATAAATCAAATACTGTACAGTCGAACCTTTTTAAGTCGAATTTCAAGGGACCAGGAAAAAAAACTTTGACTTAGGGAGGTTGTGATTTAAGAAGATTTTAAGTCGAGGAACAAGCATTTGTGTTATGAGGAAATGTGGAAGAATTGCAGAAAATTGTAAATGGTGATATTCTGGGCCTTCAAGTGCTTTTTAAATAAGTTCGCAATGTGTTGAACTTGGATGCAGGGGTTCATTAGCACAATTTGTCTTTCACTTCCTTTCAAGACACATTTGGTTACTTTTTTTATTGCTTTCCTCTTTCCTGCGTCAAGAAAATAATAGCGAAAAAGCCTCAGAAAATGTGACTTACAGAGGTTTTAGAGGAAAAGCCTTTGAGTTAGGGAGATTTTTAGTGCATCATTTCCAAGTGAATTTAAAAGAATTCAGTTTTAAAAAATTCGATCTAGTTTCGACTTATCAAAGTTCAACTATTTTCCGGAAATTCGTCAGGTTCTTTTAGAAAATTAGAAAGCTCCTGGTATTACTCAGAAAACCTCAAATGTTTGGCTTATTTTAGGAATGTGAGGTGCAATTAAAAAAAAATAGACTTTGATTCCTCACCGGGATAAAATATGTTGAATTGACTCGCATTTGTCAACAACGAAGTCGAGCTGGTCGGAAATTCGCACTCGCTGTTGCTCTTTTCAACTTCATTTTGTGTTGATAGCTCAGACATGTGCAACAAATGTCCAGTGATGGACATAAATATGTATCTGTGTGGCTCTGATCGTGACATAGTCCTTTCGGAGACACGGCAGCAAAACTGTCGATGTTCCTTGGTATTTTCTGTCGACAAATAATAACATCGTGGAATGTAATATCCATTTCTGCTTGATAATCTCTCGCTCCGGAAAAATAAAGGATGAAATTCTGATAAAAAGAAGAGCAGTGGGAAGTTTGCACTCGAGACGTTACGGGGAAACTGAGATAAATGTAGTGTCATAAATTAAAATTTGGTCGAACCATTTTTCACGATATGCAAGCATATTTGTTCTGGTTACTAGGATTCTGAAGAATTTATTTTTTTCAACTCAACGGGAACGCTCATTTTTTCTTTCTTGCCATAATTCTTCCCTTCAACCCATCATTACATTTTGACAGCAATCAAAACCATTTTTTTTAGCTCAGTAGTGATCACCATAGTATTTGAACAGTTCTCAATCATTTTGGCTCGGGTTCATCATGAGCCCTGATGTAATATGAGAACAAAACTCTAAAGCGCAAAATGACTAAAGGTAACTTGAAAGAAAAACATTGATAAACGCTCATTAACTAGATCAATAGGATACACGGCCTTGAATTTTTCCCCGTTAATTTTCGGTTTAGCTTCAGTTAATTTTTCTGGCTGCACTGGGGTGAATTTTTTTTTTTTGCAGTTGAAGAGGCTTTTGTTGTTGCAGTTCATTTGAAGTCAGGGAATTAATTACCGTATCCATTTCACGAAAAGTGCTTTGGGAATAATCCAAGTATGACGTCGTTCCCGAGCAAAAATAATCGGACTCGCGCGGGGTTCGACGCAAAAAAACGCCGGGTTCGATTGTGTACGCATTCGGGTCGCCGGGAAGATTCGCGTGCCTTTTATACATAGCATCACTGCGTTTTCCTCAGCTGGATCCCACGCGTGTATAAAAGACCATCCCGGGAATGCGTATATAGAAGAAACCCCATTCGGAATAAATCAGAATATATGTACGGGGGCGTATGTACGAGTTGCTGGATCCACACGCGCGCGCCGATCGTCATACCCTAAATACACAGCTTTTCTTTCATTCCCGATTGAGAGCCCAATTTTTGCACCCAGAAGAAAGAAAATCAGGGAATTGGTTGAAAGCCTGTGATTAATGTGAGAAAAGGGATTTGATTCGTGGTACGTCAATGCGGGGGCCATTCAATGATATGTAAGCTAGCTCGAGGACATTATCTCCTCCTTTTCTGGCAGCGGGAGAAAACAAAAATACGATCAGGAATTTCTCACCCATTATCACAACTTTTAGACTAGATATACTAACCATTGTCTCTAGAATTTCCAACCAGTCAACAGGCGAGATAACAGCATCGCGTTATTGCTGAGCACGTCTCGTGGTCTAATTATAGCAGTGGTTTCATTGTCAGGAACTGGGATGAATAATAGTTTTGTCAGAAGTTGATGAGGGATGAGGCTTCTTTTTTATTAGAAGCCTTGCGTCATTTAGCCCCGGTTCAAACTGACACGTGTAACGAAGTTGACCTTTCAAAATAATAAATTCATTTCACTTTCGCTCAAATCTATTTATGCAAGCTCAATGTTTTTTTCTGCTCATATACAGGGTAAATAAAAAAGTAGAAACATTCGATAAGTGTCACGTAGTTGAAATTTCGCCTGTAACCTTCGATTTTCATAAAATGTGTTGATTTTCAAAATATTTAAGCTTGTCCCGGTTACGCGTAGCTTTCAATAACTCGCCATTGGTCAACCATCGAACAGTTTTTCTTGCTGTTACTTCAGGACTATGAAATGTTTCTTTTCCTTCATTATACAGTATATTAGAAAAATAAATGTAATATGGCTAATTTGACGATTTTTTAAAGTGATTGTTTAAAAAGCTCCGCACGTAATTTTTTCCTGATCAACTCCGAAATTTTCGAGATGATTTTTCTTTTTGGGAGAGCTCCAAGCATTTTTTTATTTTTTTGGAAAATGTGCTCAGTTCTTGATTGCCCCAGAATCCGTGAAGTTGATCGGACATATCTTAAGAATGGGGTCCGCAGAAAAATTCGAGGAAATGCATTAGCTTTTCGCTGCATGCATGCGAACTCTGACATGAATTTGCAGGAATATTATTCTTGAATGCCAAGCTCAAATCATTCAAACGTCACAACATTTCAGAGCAAAATACGTAACTCTATACAGGAAATCTTGTCTCAAGGACCGAGTTCCGCACTTTCTATTCAGAATTATTTATGGCAGACGAACGCGAAACTTTTTACGCCGAGTCAGTCGTCGTAATTTTCGTAAAGCTATAAAAAAATGAAAATAAAAGTGCAGAAGGAACGCTTCAGAGCGGCGCAGTTGGGGTTTTTGCTGTCGTTGCCTCTGGGTAAATTACGACCCCGTATAATTTCCTTTTTTTTTTTTGCCTGATTAAACGATCCTATGATTGTTACTATATAACTGCCATTTTCCCTTTTTTTTTGTTTCCGCACTTCGTAATACACGTTTACGGAGTTGATTATCCTCGTATTTTGCGGGGCGAGGGACGAAGTGGGCCACGTGCGCCGCATGCTGCGGGAACTGCGCCGCGAACACGCATCTCTTGCCGCGTATAACTAACTGATGGTGCGTATATTGTCAGATGGTATATAGCATTGTACTCAGCAGGATGTGGATAGCTTTGTGGCTTCACCGCGAAATTTTTGCAACATGCAGATTGTTCCCAATTTGCATGCCCTTGAGAAGGGGTCCTAGCCTTCCCTACTGCTGCTTACTGTACACTATTTCGAGCCGAGAGGATTGTGAAAAGGTTCAGAAAATCGGAATGCGTGCATAAATCATACATGGATTCAATAGGGTTGTCTCTTTTTATTTCTACAAATTTAAAATGACTGCGAGTCGGATGTACAATGCTTCACAATATAATCATACATCGGTTTTTCATAAAAGTGCAAACACACAAGACGTACATGTACAAGACAAACATAAATGCTCCAAGTCCAGTGGACTGAGAAACACAGACTGAAGTTTGAACTGGGAAAGTTTAACAGGTTAGCTAAGCCTTTACTTTACTGCTCAAAATCTAGAATGGTTTTGATTGCAAAATGGGAAGTATCCCATTTGAATAGGGAAAGTGAATCTCAGGAAAAGGACACGCCTTGACGTGTTCCAAATTCCTGATCCAAAGTTGCCCTGGAAATTACTGGGACATGAATGTGGGAAACCAGAGTGTGAGATACCAGAGATGCAATGAGATATCATCGCATCTAACCTATTTGCAACTATACAGCAAAGCGAGGTGTTACACTAGATTCATTAATCTAGTAAATGATAGTCTTTAAATTAGAACATTAACCACTCCCATCTGATGACACATGCAGAAAGAGTGGAATTGGAATCTGGTGGAAAAGTGAAATTAAGAGGAAAAGTATTTCCTCCCTTTTCCAGGATAACAATAGGTGGATATCATTTACAGGGTTATGACACCTGATGCTCGGTATTCGGACAAAAGGTTGGAATTTCTTGTTTTGGAATTTAAAAAAAAATGACGCGTTAAATTTTTTTCGAGTGACATGCGAACAGTTGGAACATGCATTAACGGGCCAAAGAAAAATTCCCAGTCTATTTCCAATAAACCAAGAAGATCGTGAAAAGGTTAATGAAATCGGAGTACTGCGCGTATAAAATAGACAAGAATTCAAGAAACGAATACGTTTCGAGGATATGAGACCTGATGCTCCGTATATTCGAAAGAAAAATGTTGAAATTTCTTGCTTTGGGATTTTAAAACATGACAATATAAGATTATAAATTGTTCTCGAAGAGTGCTATAGTTGAAACATGGATGTAGAGATGAAAGGGAAATTGCCCTTTTAATTTCAAGCCAAGAAGATCGTTGAAAGGTTTCAAAAATCGGACTGTGCCATTAAATCAGACATGAATTAAGGAGATGAATCATTTTCGTGCATATAATGAGACCTGATGCTCGGTATTCGGAAAAAAGAAACTTTGAAATGTCTTGCTTTTGGAATGAAGAAATCTGAAAATTTTAATGTTTTTGAACAGTGAAATGGGTGAAAAATGGATAAACAGACAAAAGGCAAATGAATCAGGCTGTTGTCCAGGGCATTGACTGAGAGTCAACCGCAAAAGAAAAAGAAATATGCGCTCGCCAAACCCCGAGTTCAACGAAACGAAAATTTTAAATGTACTGAACATCTGTAAGTAATTTTTAAATCCCTGGAAAAACGTTGCCATTTTATGAATGAAAACTTTTAAAATATATCCGTTTTGGATGATGCATACATTTTTTGAGTGATGCAGTGCGAGGAATGCTGCATTGCAGTACTGGAAAAAAAGGGTCAGAGTTCCGGACAACAGCTGATTTTCAGCGCAGTCTTCCTCGAAGCAAAGCCCTCCCAAATAAGTGAGGCTTCGATCACTGACCTATGATTTAATTTTAAAATTCATTGCATAGACTATACTAAGGCCGCTGATAAAAGCCTCTTTGGAACTCAGAAACAGGCTTTAGCAAGATTCAACAGCCACGCAGAGCTGTTATCCAAGACTCAAACATGCTTTTTTGATGAAATTTCCGGGAGAATATTCGTCCACAATTAAAAAAAAAAACATGTGTACAAGTTTATCGCTGATTCATTTGGGGAGAAAACTTGATCAAGAAAATTAAACAGTTCAATTGAAGATTTGACACTCACGATTGCCGGGCTGAGGATGTAGGGCCTGAGCAAAAATCCCACGGTCGTCCGGATGTACAATAACGTACACTTGGTGTCCAAGAAGATCAACCTGAAATATAGTAAACGCGCAAGAAAAAACACACCAATTTGAATTAATTCCTCTTATAATCGCGAGATGCTTTACTCCTGGGTGAAACGATTGTTTCAAATCTCATCGGAATTCCTTACTTCCACTTATGTCTGCAGCAACTTTTACATGTTTCCGTTCCATGAATTATTTCTTTTATATATGGATACCTGATCTCAGAGGGATGATGATTAGAAACTGCATCACGAAGTCTCCTTGCAACAGAATGCTTTGATAATTGACGCTGATTTTCAATTAATTGAGAAAATCAGGCGGGTTATTTCTGCAAATTTCTATACCACACCAAGCTTACTGTTTCGCGCATTTAAAGCAACTTGGTCAGCATGTGTAGACGAATTTTCCGTTCTATGAAACGACTTTCGAATGAAAAAATTGTTTTTAAAAGAGCAAAAGACAAGAAAAATGCGATAATCGTTTCCTCTCTGCTTTGAAAAGATAATTGTCCCTATGTATACTGTACTTGGATATGTCTTGTTTTGAATTATAAGATGTCAATCGAATTTTTACCCCGAACAGTACAGCACTTGAAACATTGAAGAATTAACACAGGGGAAATTCTTCGGTTCTCCAATAAAAATAAAAGCAGAAACAATTAATTGCAGCATATATATTTATACGAAAAGGTTGCGCGTAGAAATCAGACATGAATCCAAATCGTTAATTTCCCTCGGGAAATGAATTCTTGAAGATTGGCAGCTACAGGGGGAACTAAAATTGGAAATTTCTTGGTATTTGAAAACTAATTCGCATCGTGATTCCCCTGAACAATAAAATAACTGAAACGCAGACGAACGGACGAGGAATAAAATTTCTCCGGCAGCCAAAACAAAAAACAAAAACAACAAAATACTGTTGCAGAAAAAAAACCCTACTGTAGATGCTGCAACAATTTATGAACAACAACAAGGTATGAACCCAGAGGCACATGACAGGGTTGCAAGCGATAAACAAGCTGTAATGCAAAGTTGCCTCCCTTTAAGCACCGGAAGAAAACTGCCACGAGAGCAGAAAAGAGTGGATTAATTGGGCAAAAGCGTAAAAGTTACTACTGTAGCAGTACAGAACATTACTCTGGTTTGCAAAGCAGGACGCGTGGCGGTCACATGTATCTTACTTGGGCATGACCGAGCAATTTCTCAACAAACTCGGACACGTGGAGGATCTTGCCCGTGCCGGTCGTAACGAGCAGGAAGGACTCGGAAGACTTCCGGTGTGTAAACGCAAGATAGGA